CCTTTAATAATGTGTGGATGCACCCTGATGTGCTACGCATTCTCCAACGCGCCTAGGCATGCTTCTGATCAGGTGGTCAATGTCCTCCTGTGGTATCTCATTCCAGGCAACCACCAACTCCTCTTGAAGTGCTTCTAGAGTCTGAGGAGGACGTTGCAAACTGAGCAATCTCCTACCCATCATATCCCACACGTGCTCAATTGGGGATAAGTCGGGAGATCTTGGTGGCCATGGTAACAATGTGACATCATTATGTTGAAAGAAGTCTATTGTGACTCTTGCAACATGTGGTCGGGCATTATCTTGTTGGAAAGTTGGATCTGCCAGGGTGTCAAGAGAGGGTAAAAGATGGGGTTCTAGAACTTCGTGGATATAACGATGCGCGTTCATGTTACCTCTGATGAAAATTAAAGGTGACCTGGTACCATAAGCTATAGCACCCCAAACCATAACTCCAACAGTGTGATGAACATGTCTTTCAACAAAAAACTGTGGATTCCTCCTTTCACCACGTCGCCTTCTAACCCTGGCACGACCATCGTGCATGCCTAAACAAAATCGAGACTCGTCACTAAAGACAATACTGTTCCATTCCTGATCCCAGAGTGACCGTTGTCTGCACCACTCAAGGCGATTACGTCGGTGTTCTCGAGTTAAAGGGAGGACCCAGTGTGGCCGGTATGAAAACAAGCCAAAACTTCTCATTCGTCGGTAAACACTTCGCATGCCGATAGGTCTTCCGTGTTCTGCAAACCATTCATTTGCAATGGACCTGGTAGTGGAGAAACGGTCCCTTAAGGCCAATAATCTTAGGCGGCGATCTTCACGATCTGTTGTTCTACGGCGGCGTCCAGTGCCCCTTGCTCTTTGCGTACGGCCTTCTCGAAGCCATGCCTGACAACACCTAACTAAGAAAAAAACTAAGATTTCAATAGTTGGGCCAACTGAAGTGGGAAGGGGCTCGTACGTTATTGCTCTAGGAATGTGCCAATTTCAATTTTACAAATGCGGCTTGTTTATAAACCAGGTTAACCTAGACACCACGTCTGGATTGAATACCGAATCTCATCTGTCTTAGTACATCATACGTTTTGAAACCTAAAAAAACATGCTTATTATTATATATTATACCTATACGCTCTGTAAAGGAAATTCAAAACTTTGAGACACCCTGTATATCAGAAACGAAACAAAACGAGACAATTGTGGCTACCACTTCCATGATATTCGATTCAATTTACCAGCCTTTCTACTTTAGGCATGAAATGTTACAGTATCTAAGATTTATCATTTCAGATTTTTACAAAGACATATTGACACCTGGTTGCTTATGCAATATAATTTAAATTGCCTGAAAATCTTGATATCTATAGATTCATTATTTATAAAACGGACCGGAGACAGGTTGTATTGTTTGAAATCTACTTTGGTTGAAGCATATACAGGATGATAGCGGTGCTCCATCGTCTTTTCAAGTCGGAACGGGATTGCGTTTTTCAGACAGAGTTTAAACTAAATGTTCAAACCAAAAAGTGGTCTGACAAATGCGGATACAATAATCATAGTAATAATTGTTGTCACAAAATACACAAACATGAAGCACTCAAAAAAGTTTACACTTGGGTTGATTAAAACTAAAAATGACTGAACAATGTAAATACTACATAATTTGATGAGTTGAATGAACACGGGGATGTCAGGAAAATATCAAGACAATTATAGCTAAAGTAGAGTATTGAGTAAAAATATTATTTGTATGTTAGTGATAAGCAAAATATTATAGACTTTAATATAATTTCTTGGTTGTTGTGAAATCCATTTTTTCAAATGATCTAATGCATCTTATTCCTTTTGATGACTTTGGTATAAAGTCATAGAATCTTGGCCCCAGGAAAAGAAGGGCGTGTTGAGTAACGTTTTTTAATGTTACTGGAATACACGCCGAATTTTGATTGAATCTTGTTCTGCAGTTTTGACTGATACGCATGCTTAATATAATCTATCAGACCGCTATAAACATGAATTTGTCTGCAATCTCGTTGCATACAGCAATACAGCATTAATATAATATTCATATCAATATTGATGTCCCTACCAAAAATGATAGCACCAGATGTTAAATAAAGCTCAGTGAGATTTGCTTCGAGATTAAGTAGAAAGTCACATACATTTTTACTTGGTGGCCTATAAAGTGTGCCAAACTTGAAATACTTTTTATTTATGCAAAATTCTAACCAAATAATAATAATAATAATAATAATAATATTTATTTACTCTAAAATACAGGGAACATGAAACGAGTAAATAAATATAATATATCCATAGGAGGACAACGCCTGTGCATGGATCATATGTATGTTGAATTGCAAAATATAATAAAATAGAGAGAAAAAAGAAATTATTGGTAAGAATGGTAGAGCATTTATTGTGTAATATTTGAGATTATTTTATTAATTTGATTTCTCCCAATCGTGTTAATAATTTTTTTTAATTTTTTTTTGAAGCCTAATGTATTGCGTAATTGTTTTAAATTATTTGGTAAATGTTCGTACAATTGTGGAGCTATATACAGGTGACATCGTTTCATTAGGGATTTATTTGGTTTAGGAACATTTTTTGCGCGTAATTTATATCTGGTTTTATGATTATGTTTAATTATGTCGTGTTCACTAATAGTTTTGTGATAATGAGTGATGGTATGTAAGAAGTAAAGTTGTTTAGTATCATATATTTGTGCATCATTATATAAGTCATTAGTTGGGTATAATTTTGATTTGCCTAACATTGATTTTAAAATTCTTCTTTGAAGTACATCTAAATCGTTAAAGTATGTCGAGCATGCAGCACCCCACACTACTATACCATATGTTATGTGTGGCTCGACTAAAGCTTGATATATTATTCGTAGATAATATTCAGTTAATATACCGGTTAGAAATTTTATTTTATATGCTATGAATCTAATTTTCTTTAGTATGTGAGAAATATGTACATCCCATCTCAAGTGGGGATCTAGATAAATTCCTAAATATTTTGTATCATTAACTCTATTGATTTTTATATTTTTATCATTTACCTTAAACCGAAGGTGGTTATATTTTGGTAGATGATTAGATAGTGATGAAAATGGTAAAAAATGAGTTTTAGTAAAGTTAATTGTTAATTTTCGGTTATTAAACCATTGAATAATTTTGCAAAAGTCATTTTGGATAATATCTTTTAAGTCGTTCCAATCCTTACCTTTATAGAGTATAGCAGTATCGTCTGCAAAACTGACTATTTTACCAATACTGTTAATTTGAATATATTGTTTAAATAAATATTGAATAACAGAGGACCCAAAATTGTACCTTGTGGAACACCACATTTAACAAACATTTCTTTACTATACGAGCTTAATATTTTTACTGATTGCGGTCTATTTGATAAATAATTTTCTATTAAAGTATACATCTTTCCACGAAAACCTATTCTTTCTAAGATTTCCAAAAGTATATTGTGGTTAACTGTGTCAAACGCTTTTTGTAAGTCCACAAATACGCATATCGATGGTACTGTTCCATCTATATTTTGGGTTATTTCATCTACTATACTTAACACTGTTGTAGATTTGCCCGCTATAAAACCATATTGATTTGAATTTAGAATTTTGAATTTATTAAGAAAATTAATCATTTTATTAAGGAGTAATTTCTCAAAAACTTTAGCTAAACTTGATATAAGTGAAATAGGTCGATAGTTAGTGACGTCCGTATTATCATTAGATTTATAGATAGGTATGATGATTGCTGTCTTGAAAGCTGATGAAAATACTCCAGATTGGAAGGATTTGTTAATGATATAAGCAAGTGGTTCTGTTATTTGTTTGGCCAGTATCTTTAGATGTTCAGCTCTAATTTCGTCAACTCCAGGGCTTTTTTTATTTTTTAAAGTCATAATGGCATTGAAAACATCCTGATAGTCTACTTCAGTTAATACAAATGAATTATTCAGTCTTGTTTCATGCAGATGAATATCAGCATTTTGTTTGATATTATTTGCTAAGTTTCCTCCTATATTCGTGAAAAATTCTATGAACTCATCTCATATTTGCTGAATATTGTCTGTTTTCTGTCCTATTTTTGTTTTTATTTCATTAATATTGTTTTTTGAATAGGATGACTTATTGAATATATCATTGACAGTGGACCATAGGTGTCTAGAGTCATGTGAATTATTATTCAATTGTTTTATATAGTAATTTTTTTTTTGTTTTTCTCAAAAGTTCTATAAATTTGTTTTTATACTGATTATAATTATCTATATTTTCTTTCGTGGGTAAATATTTCATGATTTTATACAGTCTTTCTTTTTCGTTTACAGATTTTATTAGTCCTTTGGTCATCCAATCATTTCTGCTTTTTTCCTTGTGACTTATTTTAAATGTGTTCTACTGCTTCGCTATGGAGAGTGTTTATTGTTTTACATTTTATATATTCTGCTATGCAAATTCCTACACCACCGCCTCTACTATCCAATACTAGAATTGGGAATCCCATTATGCAACCACGTCTCACAAACACCAACTATATCAAATTTCTTTTCTAACATAAACTGTTTAAATTCAAAGAAATTATTTTTAAGTGATATTACATTAATAAAAGCTAATGATAAATCTTTCAAAAAGAGGTAATGGATTCAATAAAAAAAAACACTAACAAATAGAATTGACCATTCATTTTTTTTTTAAATTTTCCATTTCTGCTAATGATTTGATCCTCAACGCAACCTCCCGATCAGCCTTCCTGGCATAGGACTGGCCATTTCTGCACCAAACGTATTTAAACCCAGAAATCTTCAATTTTCTTGCCTCTTTATAAATTTCTCTAGTTTCCTCTGGAAGATCTTCATTAATAAATATTCTAGATTGTGAACGACAGATGCTGCAGTTTTGATTGCTCAGTGGTAACCTTTTTCTCTTTTCTATAACCGTATTACGTTGAATCAAATTGCACACCCACTACAGTAGCATCCGCCTCAGCCTTAGAAAGAACAAACACTTTATAGCTGGATTCCCCCATATCGCATTTCGAAAAGACTTTTTTGACGTTTTCATCAATATTCTGATTTCCTTTAATTCCTGTGATAATCACCCTTTTCTTCCTAGCTTCATCTTCACCTTTAGAAACCTTTTTCTTCAAAGTTACTACCTCCTTCTCCAGTTCATCAACACGATTCTTAAGGTGCTCTTGTGTTTTTCGCAACTCACGATTCTCATCCGCTATAGCTTTTATTGTTTTTTGTAACTCCTCCATCACTTCGCCATTAAAATTAAGGGCCTTTTCTATTTCTGAAAACTTCTGTTGCATAGTTTTCATTATGTGTTTGTTACTGGGATTATCCAATGGTACGGTATCAGACGCGTCTGACTGATCTGATGTTGAAGAATGCCTGTTTCTACCACATCTGCCACACAACCACTTCTGATCAGTCTTACTCTTTTCATAAGCCAAACATTGCTCGTCCGATAGCCCAGTACATGTCCACCGCACGTCAAACTATATTGTGTCTTAGTTATATTATTTCTACATTCACCACATTCACAGGTCTTGAACTTGCCTTTTGTCATATTGATCCAAATCGACCGGACTATAACACAGACTTCTAAATCAAATACCAGAAATAAGTCTTTTTCATTCACAGCACTTTTTATAGCCTGGTATACTTTTTATATTATATTCCGAAAAACTTCACTCCTCGCACCACCAAGGGAGGCTTGTAAGACAAGAAATAAATTAATCCCTGTGTGTGTTAGACCCATGAAATTTCGGAGCACTTTTTAGAACGTGTTAACTGTCCAACTCACACATAATATCTATCTATTGTGTGAATATGACTTAGTTTCATTAAGTGAAACGTGGTTGAATGAGAATGTTTTGAGTGCTGAACTAATTCCTGACTCTTATATTGTTCATAGGAAGGACCGTAAGTTTACATTGGTTGATAAGGAATGTGGCGGTGGAGTTCTTCTAGCATTAAATCTGAGGTGTTGCTGTATTTGATGCACAATTTCCATCAATTGATCTTTTAAGAGTGAGATGCCATGTAGCATATAAGACATTTTTTGTGGCTGTTGTTTACATTCCTGAAAAAATTGCTGTTGATGAATTTGAATCGTTCTTTGATGCTGTTGAGCAACTGGATTATTTGCACGACTGTAATTCCCAGTTTCTAGGAGATTTTAATGTGCCTCAACTTGTAAATGGCAATCTTCTAGACCCTAAGACACGCATTATCCATAATTTTTTTGACATTTTTAATTATAGGCAGCCAAATAATGTCTTAAATCAACTTGGTCGGTCGCTAGACCTTGTAATTTCTCAATTACCCTGTACTGTTAAGCGTGATGAACTACCTCTAGTGCCAGAAGATAGTCACTACCCGGCACTAGCTGTTGATTTGACTGCCATATTCATTAAAGAGCCTAAGTTTCCATTCATCATAGTAAAATAACTTATAACTACAGAAAGGCTGACTTTGTCAACCTGTATCAAGAGCTAATTCAATTTGACTGGGATGTTTTATTCTGCTCTTCTGATGTTATTTATATTGTTGATGTATATTATGGCAGCATTTTCCAAATTTTTGACAGGAACATACCTCTGTATAAGAATTACAGTCACCGATACTCGCCTTGGTTTCACTCAGCTATTATTGAGAACATTAAACTTAAAGCTAAATTTAGGAAAAAAATCAACAGGTTTGCTTTTGTTGATGATCTACAAGAATTCAAACATTTGCGCCGCTTGATAAAAAACCAGATTAAATCGGCGTATGATCAATATATTGAAAATATCCAGAATTCTTTAACAATTAACCCCAATGCTTTTTGGTCATACGTTCACTCCCAAAACAACACATCACGAATCCCAAGGATAATGAAATTTCAAAATAATTCTATAGATCAGCCTCAGGATATACAGTATATTCAGATAAGAGGTAGACCGGATGTAAACAAAAGGTTCGGGTGATTTTCACGCTAACGCCGCCGTCTCGACGTAAAACAGGAGCCCTTATTGGTCAATTCGCAATTAAATGCCTATGCCGAGCGGCAGAGCAGTCGTATCAAGGCAGAGTCACATTCAGGTTCAGACGTGTTACGTATGTCGTGTGCATCATTGCAATTTGATATATCTTTGGACGTTTTCGTTTGTTATCTTATTAAGTTGTTGAGTTTGTCGTTGTTATTGTTAGTACAGATACTGCCGATGAAGTTGTAAACTCCTGTAGTCCACCTAGGAAACGCTCTAAAAAAAGACACCTGAGTGCAGAAATGAAAGAGGTCATTTTGAATATATATAAGATCGAGCGCGAGGAGAACAAAGCATCAACCATCAAAGAAATTGTTGTGAAGGTTTCTCACAAAGTTGGGGTGTGTCGCGCATCAGTGCTTAATGTGTTAAGACAATACAAAAAAAAAATCACACCTTTTCTGAGCCAATGACCAGTAAACATCGCAAAAGTATTGTTAAATCATTGGATGAAGCTGATAAGCATGCGATTAGGAGGAACGTGCATGAATTCTTCTTTAGGAATGAAATACCTACTATAGATAAAGTACTGCAGGAGGTAAATGGAGATACAACGTTGCCAAATTTCAAACGATCAACTTTCCATGCGTTACTGAAGCATTTAAATTTCAAATGAAAAAAACGGGGTCGTAATAGTTTACTACTGGATAGAGAAGAAATTGTGCTATGGAGGAGGGATTATTTAACAAAAATTGGGAAATATAGAAATCAAAACAGGAAGATTTATTACCTTGATGAAACGTGGGTAAACGCAGGACACACTACAAGTAAAGTATGGGTTGATGATTCTGTAACTTCATCCAGGAGGGCCTTTCTAGATGGACTGTCCACCGGATTAAAAAATCCAGCAGGTAAATACGAGTAATAGACAACAATCGGATGTTTTTCAAACCTTGGGAACAAGGTTCTAAACATTAATTCCAGGGGGCAGATAAAACATATTACAAGTAACAAAACTTTTATAACTTTCGATAAAATGCGTGGATGTTTCATTGTCATTTTCATTTGTTAGAACTTTTTTAAGCCATGTTTTTATGTGTTTTCGATATTTCAATAATTTTTTAATATAATCTTAAAATATGTCGAATATTATAAACTTAAAAAAAGTTACTAAGTTTTATATTGTGTACCGTTCCTAATATTTCTAATCATTTTAATTCATACTTTACGCTTTATAAAGTTATAATTTGTTAATATTAATATTTGCGCGTATTTCAGGTTCCTGATCATTCATTTTTTAAAGGTTTATAACTTTAAATTAAATTGTGAAGCGCTGAGTAATCATACGACGTTCAATATTCTTTCTTTCAATATGACTAAATAATCCCAATTATAGCAATCTGATACTCATGTCTCAATGTTTTTTCGCTGAATGTGATGAAAACATTTGAAAAAGGTTCGCTTATTGAAATAAATCTATACCAGTTAGTACTTCGATTTCCAGGTAAAGGGAAAAGGCTCATTATCTGCCATATTGGCAGTGAGGATGGATTTGTTGTTGACGGTCTGTGGTGCTTTGAGTCTAAGAAAACTGGAGATTACCACGAGGAAATGAATGGCGAATCGTTTGAACAGTGGTTTTCAAAAATTTTACCGAACTTAGAGGAAAACGCAGTAATTGTGTTGGATAATGCGCCTTATCATTCTCGAAGAATGGAGAAGGTCCCAACAACAGCTTCAAGGAAAGTTGATGTTCAAAATTGGCTCCGCTCGAAAAATATCAACTTTGAAGAAGCAATGCTGAAAGTACAATTATTAAGAATTGTCAAGGATCACAAGGCGGAATATCAAAAATACGCCATTGACGAAATGGCAGCAAGTCAAAATAAAACTGTGCTCCGTTTACCTCCATACCATTGCGAGCTCAATCCCATTGAGCTCATATGGGCAGAGGTTAAAAATTATATAGCTAAGCACAATACAACTTTTAAATTTTGTGACCTCAAAGGAATTTTCAAAGAAGCACTAGAATTAATAACAGCGCAAAAATGGGAAAACTGTATTAAGTACGTGAAAGACAAAGTTGAAAAGAGAATGTGGGAACTGGACAATATTTTAGAGGAACAAGTCGAGCCATTCATTATTGACGTTGGTGCTTCAGGCAGTAGCGATGATGAAAGCTCATCAAGCTCATCTTTCCTATAAAAGATGTCGTTCATCAAATTCGGTAAGTTATAAGTAATTATAAAGCTACTGTATTTTTTAATTAATTATTGATATTTTTGAACCCATTCTGGCAAAACCTATTCAAGAATATACTTTCTGACAATGTTCAACCATGCACATTTTTTTACGTTTTGAACGTTTTAATTTGGTTACATATTTACATAGAAATCAAAAAATATACTAATCAATATTCTAAAAGCAATTTTAAGAGATATACGATTATTTTTAATTTAGGCTAATTTAAACGCCATTTTGAGATTATATTCGGCTGTATTTCACCAAACATCAGGCGGCATCCGAAGCTGGAAATCGAAGCGAAAATTTTGAAACCCTTATGTATATTTACATCATTATATATTTCTTACCCCACCCCCACATGATCCTATATCCATCACCAATCATATACACATCGAATTGTGCTAATTTACTACAAAGTTACGCAAAGCAGCATCTACTATCTAAAATATGTACTGGGTGACTCTTAATACGTCCCTGTCGAATGTTACAGCGTTCGATGATCACGTGGTCTTGTTTATGTCCGGTCTATCTCTTATCTGAATATACTGTAGTAAACGCATTCAGTGAGTTTTTCAGCAGCGTCTATGTCACTCACAAGCCCCATAATAATGCCTCACTAAATCATAGTAATTTATTTGTCCATTTTCATCCAATTGAGGAAAATGAAGTCAGGAAGGCCAGTAAATCACTAAAGGATAAGATGACATCTGGTCTGAATGGCATCCCATCCTTTATAGTCAAAGATTGTGTGGACGTGTTTGTTGCTGTTCTAACTAGGATTTTTAATATTTGTCTTATAACAAAAAGATTTCCAGATATTTGGAAGATCGCTAAGGTCTGTCCAGTGTTTAAGTGTGAGGATAAGTCAAATATTGAGAATTACAGGGCAATCTCTATATTATGCATGTTCTCGAAAGTCTTTGAAATAGTCTTGTACAGTCGCATTTAAACTGCCGTCCAGTGTCAGCTGTCATTGCATCAACACGGATTTGTCGCTAATCGCTCAACAACCACAAATCTATTTATAATAACGCAGTACCTCTCGGAAGCAATTGATAGTAATGAGCAAGTTGACGTTATTTATACCGAATTTTCGAAGGCTTTCGATAAAATTAACCACAAAACTTTATTAAATAAGTTAGGTGCACTTGGTTTCACAGATGATGCTAGGGAGTTGATGAAATCTTACTTATCCGAT